CGGGCGGAAGGGCGTAACTCAATTTCCTCGTGAGCTGCGGTTCACATATAAGTTCATGCTTTCTGGGGCTCATATAGAAACCGAGGTACACCCTAACGTCAAAGAAGCGACGCTATAAGCAACCCAAAAGTTGGTCGATACAACAGTGGTGAGACATTGTAAATGGAGGTCATGCCTCTAAAGGACTTATCAATTGTCACTAGCCCAATATCAAAAAACAGCAACGGCAACGGTCTAGCCAGAGATTTGGAATTGGATGAAGATGGAGTTTCCAATCGACATCCTCTCATCAGTCATTAGGGGATGAAAGTAATGTGTGAACAATGTGAATGGCAACACGGCAGGCTCCTCGCCGATACCCTTCGCAGTTCGCACCGCGGCAAGGCTCCATTCAGCCTGCCTCGCTTCCCGTTCCCGGAACTGCTCCTTGCACCGGGGTAACTAAAGTATAAGCTCAGGGAAAATTTTTTGTTTCTCATTTTCTGGGATTAACTTTTCTCAATGTATTCGGATTCTGCATAAAATTTCAAGCAAAGTGATATAAAAAAAAATCCAAAAAGTCAATTATTCACCCAGGAGAAAAATGTTTGGTATTCTGAATATTTATAAGGAGAGCAAATCAATTAGTTATCAGAACTAAAGCTGCCATTTTTTTTGTCCTGCCACCACAACGCCTAAAGTGGATCCAAGTCTGGGAGACGATATGGCTTGAGGAAGTGAGTGTATTGTTGGGTTGGGAAAGGTACCAGCAAGGAGCTATTTTGGATTACCGGAGAGAGCAGTTAGTCCAAATGTTGAATGTTATCAAGGAAGTGGGCCTAGTGCTGTTTAAACGGAACATTTCATTTAATGAGCCCACCATTTTCGTAAAATTCGCAATGATGATCAGAAAGTCTATTATGTCTATGTATAGAAAAAATGAACCACGGTGAATAGAAATGGTTTACCAAAGGGTTTGTCATGTCGCAGTTTTTCAATTTTTCTCAGTTTTAAATGCAACTTTGACAGCTGGTCGAGTGTATTTCGTTGTTATACTACGGTTTTAGGGGTGCACGTGTACCAGGAAATTGTTGAGCTATTTAATGTTTTTACCTCAGTGTTCCGCGGTCATCAACATCCATAATGTAGGGAGGAACCCAGTAGATGTTCAACGCTCCCGTGCGTGGGAAAAACACGGTTATTAATTCCGCATAGCACTTACGGCTTTCTTGCCTAAAACTAGCCGAATATGAAAATAAATAATACCCTATTATTATGAATTTGAAATAAAATCGGTCAATTTTTAATCATCCAAACAATTTCTGGGAGTCTTTCGGACGATTAGTGATATTTGAGAAAGAACGGAGGCTTCTTTCGGTACAGTTTTCTGGTCAGACGCTTCTGAGCCTGCTCTATCAAAATTTCATGTTTGCAGTCACTATCTCTTCGCTATTAGGTACAGTAGAATACCAGAGGGTCCGCCTTTCGCCTGCTCTGCGGTCAAACGTACGGGGATCAGTGTGTAATGTGAAGTATCGAGAAATCATGAAGAAACGTAATGCAACAAACAAATCGAAAGCACAATGGTATGCGGTTATGCGAAGAAGATCGAACAATTGGACTATATTTTCCGATTTTTTTTTCTTTCTTTTTTCTCTTTTGGAACTAACATTTTAGGCTCTCGTCATATCCAAGTGAAGTGGTATAAGTATAATTCCAATCCCTCTCCATATCAAAAAATTAATTAAAGTAACTCGATTTTCAGTTTTTTTTTTTTTTTTTTCAAATTCATTTCCTTTACTCTCTTTGGATTGGAAATATCCGAGAATATCCCGTGTCCTAACTTCCTGAGGGCTTTTCAGTTAATAAAGAAAACTCATCACAAATAAAATGACGGTACGTAAACTAACTGAGATCCCTTTCCGAAATGTACCCTCGTTATTTGAATATTGCGGGGAGCATATCATAATCGATGAATATACTTATGTACGAAGTTGGGTTCAAACCAAACATGCAACTACTTTAACTCTGCGGAGTGCCGGGTTGCATACGCTTGATTTTGCGGGCGAAATCTAAGATCTGCCCAGGCTTTCGCGATAAAGTTGCGAATGGGGGAAGTTGCATTTATTCTTTACACCCTCCTCTTTTAACTAAATTAGGGAAAATTTAAATTTTTAGTTCTTTTACGTGTAAAAAAATCAGGTTATCTGGTATGGTCATATTTAACGAATGGCGGATGAAAGACTGCCTGAGGAGGTACTGAAATGGTTTCCTCTTGGAAGGAAACGTATAGGAGACGCCCAGCAAAATCATGGATTGGTGGCATTCAAAATGAAATTACGAGGATCTATTTACCAGATGACCTCTGTTCCGATAGACAAGGATGGCGATTTGGTGTAGCAAAGCGCCCGCCGGGAGCACTGTAAAAGCGACGGGTAAATAACGTAAAAAAAAAAGTCATGATCATTGATCATTGATATTATGGTCGAATCAATTGAAAGCAATTTTTTGTAGATTGACTAATTAGGAATCAAAACATTTGTTTAAAATAAAACAATGTAATTTTGTCCAATAATATTTAAGCAATTTTTTTTTTTTTAAATTGAATAAGCCTCAAGATATTCAATATCCGTTCCCTGCGGTAAACCCGTTTCACGATCGTGAATTTTTATGACACATAATAATTATAAGGAGCCTATTGTGTAAAATATATGAAAGAAATGAGCGAGCATAAACAGTTAAGGTTTGAGAGGGAATTGCGAAGTATAGAAAAAGTAGATGTTATTGCTCTCATGCATCATTTCAGTCGGACGGACGAAAATGAAACACGAGAGGACGCCGCCAAACCGGAGCCACCATCCCGTGCCTGGACAAGGCTTTGAAATCGCGGAGGTTGAGCGAATTGTCGCCGACCGTTGAATCAACTCGAAATCACTGATTCTGAGCGAACTACCCGGCCGTGGATAGTTAACTCAAGATTTCACTTTCATCGGAGAAGAGACCAATCCGAGGTCCTGATTTTAACCGCATGCGTTTCACATCCCCTCGCGCCTCCGAAGGGGTTGACAGCGCGGTACGCGTTCCGATCCCCGTCCAGATTTCAATACCGAGAGAATTCCCGGTACAGTTGCCTCTTGATACCTGAGGCCGAGGCAACCCGGATATGAGCTATTGCGGTCTCTGCTCTCGACCCCTGCCTTAAAGTACGTTCATTCATTTATTGAACATAACATAAAGCAGAAAAAAAATGCCTCCCTTCGAAGCAAAGTCCCAATTTTGTCTATGATGTGCATCAAACGATTTCCAAGATAATGTGAGGTAATTTATTTCTAAATCTTCTTTTGTAATTTTCATATTCTTCTTTCTTGGGAAGGGGTATCAATCGGTCTCACTGACTCCTATCGCTCGTCATCCCTCAAGCGCAAAGTAAAACTGTATTGGAATTGAGGAGAGTAAAACATTTCTGCGCACGAGTGTATCAAATACGATACAGTTTACAATACCTTTGTGCGCTATGATGCGCGGTGTGCCGATGGCGGTGGGGCCGCGCCGATGCGCCGAATCCTATACTACTTGCGCGCGCGAGCACACCTGTATATTAGCAATCTGTGACCAAAGAGTTGGAGATACGGCCAAACGGCGGAAATGTTTGCTCTAAGGGCCGCAACCTGCCAGATTCTTATTAGAAAACATATTTTTACACTCTCTTCAGGCATTTTTAAAATTAAACTAAATTTGGCAACTGCACCAGGGTCAGCACTTTTCCGAGGGGCCCCAAATTGGTATGGGGTCATATTTAGACCTACCGACAACTTTAAATCACAGGGACAAGTTGATCCTAGAAAATGTGACCAAAATGATCCGGCTTACTGCCTACCCAATTTCGCCGACTGCTCCTGAAGCTTACATCTTTCTTATACACACAGATAACTTATCACATATGTCTGCTCCTCAACTCTTCATTTTTTTTAATTAAATGGATTAATTATTTTGGGAGCAAATATCCAAAACTAGTTGAAGTATTGCTTTCAATGGTTCAGGACACGGGGTAGCTGAAGATTTCATGTCGGAGTCTCGATCTCATTCTCGTTTTAGTCCTCCTTTAGAACTGGAGAGCGGAGATTGTATTTTTATTTTTCAAATTCTACTTTCACGAGCAAAAGAAATAAAAATACAAACTAAGCGACATGCGTAAAGATACGCTTTAGTCAATCAGCATTTCTTTCAATGCACTTCTTTTAGTAGGAACAAATACATGACACTCTATGCTCTCTTTTGTTAATGTCATGTGTTCAGTGAAATTTTTTCTATATTCTGAAACTAGTGCAAATGCTAGATCACAGGACTTTTTCTCATAGGACAATCTTCCCTTGAACTTTTTACAACTTTCAAAAATAAGAGCCACCCTAACCTCCTGGTATCAAGGCATTAAAGGCTCACTTCTCAGCACTCGGGGTTTTTGCCTGAAGAATACCATCCTTTGAAAACTTGTTGGAACTGTTCTGAGACCTACCATGAAAAAGTGCCTAAACTTCCCTTTGATTGGAAAAAAAACCTTCACGTAGCCGTTAAAATTGTTGGTAGGGCTTTTTAAATTTAGTCCACGCATCTTATGTCTCTGCAGCTAAAGAGGAGCTTCAACCTACAGTAGTGGAAATATAAATGCGTGTTTTGGACACAATTGCAGTTGTGGTGTCATCAAAAATAGCCTCTCAGTCTCCAAGGCCCCACAACTTGGGGCAGAAGCATGTTCAGTCAGTGGCCCTACAATTCATAGGAGTGCACACACAACCATGGCAGCGTGTCGTGATGTAAACCTATGTAAAAAACTGTAATTGAAGTTGCCCTTGCCAACTGGTTTTGTTTTTCTCTCAATCAAGAGGATCATTCGTGGCATGAGAAAATAATTGATTTTTCAAAGAAAAAATATGTTTTTTGCGTAGACTATAATACTTGTATCATATTTGCAGGTACTCACTACTGCTTTAAAAAAAATTAATTCTTCCTTTTTGACATTATAGGGTGTGAAAACAAGGAGAAATCCAACACCATACGTCAGTTGAGTGAAACAATCCACATCCTGGAGGCGCAACAAAATGATCTTAATGAAGATGAAAAAATTAAGATTGAGAATTCTCTCAAGAGGAAACATTCCTCGGAGCTCAAACTCCTTGAGGAAAAATTCGATCAATGCTTAAAGGAGCGAAACCAGTTTGAAGAATGGAAAACAAAAAATGAGACTCAGGTACTATCTCGATTTAATTTTTTAATGAGAAGAAAAAAAAACTTAAATATATATAATTATAAATAATCATATATATAAGCTCCGAGACCTCCTAAATTTGCGTATCTGGTAGCGCTTAGTTCCAGCGTTTTACCGGGCCGATTTTCATGATTTTTGAGGCTATTGACATGCAATTGTCTCTCGATGAGCCCGCTTTATTTCGAGTTTGAAAATATGACGCAGGTTTTTGTATATTACGCGGTAAAGTTGCAAATTCTCCCATTTGAACAATGTAATTTTTTATATTTTGTCATAGTTCGCTTGAGCGTTGTACTGGGCTGATTTCCATGATTTTTGCGGTTATCGACAGGTGATAGTCCCTAGATGAGCCCGCTGTAATCAGACTTTGAAAATAGGACCCAGGGTTATTAATATTAGAGGAGCCCAAGGAGCTTAGGAAAGGGGGCAAAATTTGAAATTCCCGCCAAAAAAAATGGGAATTCTCAATTTAGCGGAAAATTGAATAAAACGGGAACTGTTGAATCATGGTCACGGCTCTGTTGAAGGAATGTTATATGAAAAGTGAATGTACATCTCCGATCTCTTCGGCATCTTCAAGTAAGGTAAAAATGCTATGGTTTTAGTCAAAAATCGAAATGTGTTGTTCGAGCTCCTCAAAAAATATATCGACATTTTGTTTTTTTCTCAAAAAAATCACGAAATTGAAGATATTTCAATTTTTTACAGGGACAAATCTTATCGCAAACTAAAATCCAAATATACTGTTAAAAAGCTGTTGCTTTCAGCTTTCTAACAGTCTATAGATTTTGTAATTTGGAGCAACTAGCCACCTATAAACGGAATTTTACTGCAATCATTTTAAGGTATTTTCCGCCAACTCGGACGGCCAGTTCCCTTGAATGTATCTCTGCTATTTTTGAAATTAAGAAATAAAATAATATGTACACCGTTAGAATGACCACACTCTCGGCTTTCTATTGGTACAATAATTCTTGAATTTTGAGCAACTTAACGCCGGCACATAGGACTTTTTCGAAACTATGTCCAAAAACGCAGAAATCCGGGTGGCTCCAGTCAAAGTCAATTTCTCGCCGCCCAAATGCAACAAAATCAAAAACCAACATGTCGTTAGAAAGCTGAAATTGTCAGCTTTCGAATGGTACCTTGGTTTTTTGTAGCGTTAAAAAATCTTGATTAAAAAATATTATCATAGCTTTTCCAAATTGCCTAATGTAATTATTGTGTTTTTCCGTGCAAGATGCCACAGTCTGGCAACAAGTTCTCTTGGATTGTTTTGAAAAAGCTATGGAAAAGCTATGATAAATGGCCAAATTTGGCAACCATGAATTTTCACTGAGACAGGTGTGATTCATAATGTGTCATGTGACACAGGTCTCTCAGGGTGGGTTGAGAGTGACCAAACTCTCCCCAAAAATGACGGGGGAAAAATTAAGAGATGCCTCCCCACGAAAAAGAGTTGCCAAATTACAAAGGATTCATCTCCGACGTAGATTCGTATTTTTTAATCAAGATTTTTTAACGCTACAAAAAACCAAGGTACCATTCGAAAGCTGACAATTTCAGCTTTCTAACGACATGTTGGTTTTTGATTTTGTTGCATTTGGGCGGCGAGAAATTGACTTTGACTGGAGCCACCCGGATTTCTGCGTTTTTGGACATAGTTTCGAAAAAGTCCTATGTGCCGGCGTTAAGTTGCTCAAAATTCAAGAATTATTGTACCAATAGAAAGCTGAGAGTGTGGTCATTCTAACGGTGTACATATTATTTTATTTCTTAATTTCAAAAATAGCAGAGATACATTCAAGGGAACCGGCCGTCCGAGTTGGCGGAAAATACCTTAAAATGATTGCAGTAAAATTCCGTTTATAGGTGGCTAGTTGCTCCAAATTACAAAATCTATAGACTGTTAGAAAGCTGAAAGCAACAGCTTTTTAACAGTATATTTGGATTTTAGTTTGCAATAAGATTTGTCCCTGTAAAAAATTGAAATATCTTCAATTTCGTGATTTTTTTGAGAAAAAAACAAAATGTCGATATATTTTTTGAGGAGCTCGAACAACACATTTCGATTTTTGACTAAAACCATAGCATTTTTACCTTACTTGAAGATGCCGAAGAGATCGGAGATGTGCATTCACTTTTCTTATAACTTTCCTTCAACGGAGCCGTGGGGTCTGTTAGTAGGGTAAGTGAATCGAAAGTATGCTTCTTTGCTACAGACTAACCAAAAGCGACGAAACGCTCCGTTCCGTTTCGTTTCAGTCTTGGCGTGAAGTTTGCAACAAATGCCGATTTTTTCATTTGATTCTTATTGGTCCAATAGCTCCCGGCCAGGGAAATATTGGATAAATGAGAGTCGATTATGAAAATCTTTTCATTTTTTTGGTCGTTCTTCTGTCCACGCAGGCCCAAGAGAACGCGAAGCGTCCTCTGGGGGTTGGCCTGCTTAGCGACCAGGGGGCATAGCCCCCTAGTTATATCTATACTATAAGCTCCGAGACCTCCTAATTTTGCGTAACTGGTAACGCTTAGTTCCAGCGTTCTACCGGGCCGATTTTCATGATTTTTGCGGCAATCGACGGGCAATTGTCTCTAGATTAGCCCATTCTATTCAGTTTTTCAAAATATGACCCAGGTTTTTTTTACATTACGTGGTAAAGTTGCGAATTCTCCCATTTAAACAATGTAAATTTATACTTTTTGTCATAGTTCGTTTGAGCGTTCTACCGGGCCGATTTCCATGCTTTTTGCGTAAATCGACAGGTAATTGGCCCTAGATGAGCCCGCTTTAATCAGATTTTGGAAAAAGGACCCAGGTTTTTTTGAAATCACGTTATAAAAGTGACTGAGTTTACAGAATGCTCCGGTACTGCTACCACTATCCGCGAGAGGATGCGCAGTGGTCGAGGAGGTTGCGCAGTAGCTGTGTAGCCTGCGCATCAGCTCTACACTTATGTATACAAGATTCGCACCAGCGACTTCAAGTCGAGAGGTGGCTGAGTCGTCTAAGACGTCGAATGCGTCCTCTGTGAACTCGGTGTGGGTTCGATCCCCGACTCATGTAATCTAAATTATTACTTGACTTTACCATTGTTCATTGTTTTACTGCAATATTTCATCAAGCAGTAATTCCAAAACGCGTCCTTTTAATTTCAAAGTAATTTTAAGTAAAGTTTAAAATTGAAGTATACCTTATATCATAATTTTTAAAGGTAAAAATAAAATTAACACTGATAGGAGGGTAAAAATAGGGTGAAGCGGCCCATTGATGGCGCGGAGCGCCTTCAGGGGGTTGGGCCGCGTAGCGGCCAGGGGGCGTAGCCCCCTAGTATAATTATACTAATAACAAACTTTAATTTCTGACCGAAGAAATTTTAGATAGATAAAAGGAATTAACTGCTCATTTTTTTAGTAAAAATGCAAGAAGAGAAAGGCCGGGACAAATTTTATGAGCATATAAAGCTTTTATCTTCAGCGGTTCAGCTGACACCTACTTTATTCTGTCAATTTTTTTTTTTTTTTGCGAGTGAAACCCGAATACTCAGCTCGAAGCTTCATTGCAATTGAGCTGGTCAATTCGAAATCAGGATAGAAGTTTCTCTCTTCTTAATATGAGGTATCTGATTAGATAATGGTTGTGCTCATAATCTTTGCACTTTAGAACATTTACTTGCCTCTGTTATTACCATTTTATTTTTAATGTTTTATATGACATTGCATGGAATGATTATGTCCCCCAGTGTTCGAAATTCACAGGCGCCAAATGCGCCTAAGAAATCGGCCATGGCGCCTATAAAGTGAAGGCTCCGCGCCAACGTGGTCCCTAAAAATTCCCCCCCCCCCCCCCCCAGAAAAAAATTCCAATTTTTCTGTTTGGTGATTTTTCGAAATTTCTGTCAAGTTACAGCTACTTGCCATGTATCTAAAAAATCCTGCGTCTAATTTTTCACTGAATGTGCTGTGATATTCAGACACAAATTCAATTTGGCCCCTAAAAATCGAGCTTGTTGAGTCACATGGCTCCTGGAACTCAAAGATGAGTTACGAACACAGATGTCCCCCACTTAATTTTTTTCTCAAATTCCTTCAAATGGAGTGGTCGTATGAAATATTTTTTATTCTATTTCTAAAACACAGGGGTCTACTGAGTATCGAGATATTTTTTAGAAAAAAGCTCCAGTCAAAAACTCCTCAAAGTCAAAAGCGTTTGGAAACGGGTCCTTCCCGTGCTTCAGAACTAGTGACACTTTGACTTCACATGGTATACACCCAGGTTCGCCCTATATCAAATATGTGTACGTACAGTCTTTTTAAAAACTAGCGAAAAATCGAATTTTTTGTCTAGACTTGATGTCTGCCTGAATGAAAATTTCAGGATACGATTATTAATTTTAAAACAACTTGAGGACTCTCTATCATGATTTCTTTGTGAAAAAGGGAATTGAAGTAGAGCTCTTCGCATTTATTTGCCATGTATCGCGACTTTTTATAACACACATTTTTTCGGTCTCAAAAATTTTTCCTCTACAAATTTTCATTATGAAAGCATAAAAAATTTTACGCTCCTAAAAAAAGGCCGATGACCTTTTCCTCTAAAATCGACGGTTTAAAACAAGAATGAGCAAGAAGCTTGCTGATCGTAAGCATTTTTGCCTTGGCTGTTTATGAAACCCATATGTATTTTTGGTCACAAGTATGTTTTTTTTACGAAGAATTCTTGCAAGATTCTGATGAAATCGGATGAATCTTGGATATGTTGCTCAGCTAGTCATTCCGATCAAAAGTTCTCATGGGCCGAAAGAGATCCTATGTGCGGTTTTCGAGACATTGGCTGTTTTATATGCGTGAACGGAGCACACTGGGAAAAACAGACAATCCAGCTCCGGAAAAGTCTTGACGCTTGCGGCGTCCACTTCCCCATTAGTTTTTCACACTTAATCGTTCTTATATATGTAACTAAACACCATAAAGAGCTTACT